AATCTGTTTGTTTTCCTAGCAGTCCATGGTATTCTTAATACTCTTCTCCAGCACCACAGCTCAAAGGCATCAATTCTCCTTCTATCCTCCTTGGTCATTAGTCAAGAATATCTTTGTTTTAGTAGATAATCTAGAGATTTTGTCAATAAAGGTCAATAACAGAATGATAACGAAATCAAGGAAGTTAGACTTTTTTAAAAAGAGAGAGACCTTTTAAAAGTCTTGAAAATAAGAAAGGCATGTGAGTAAAGGGAAAATTTTAATATTCTCATACCTTAATATAATTTTTTTATAATTGCATTATTTGAGGGTGAGGGAATTATAATCAGCTTGGAAAACATGTGCAGTTGCCTTGACAAATAACAAAATGAAGGTATTATTGCTGTATTAGTGCAATGGATAGTTCTTTAGTGGATTATATGGCAAAAACTTACAGGGTGAGGTTTAAAAATAATGAATCATAAGGGAGCTCTGGTGGCCTAGTGGGAAGAAGCTGCACTGCAGTCCCAGAGGTATGTGGTTCAAATCCACCAGATGCTCTGCTGGAGAAGAGAGGCAATCTCCTCCTGTACCATTCAGATCCAATTTGACAGTACACACAAAAAAATAATAAAATAAAAAAATAATAATGAATCACATCAGAGATTTCTAAGGAGGAAAAAAAAATCATGGGAGTTTTTTTTCCCCCCAAAACAGTGAAGAAAAACTTCTTGTAAATCTGTGGAGAGAAATGAAGATAGCCATACTTGATGGAGAAACTGATGGAGGTGGCTTTGGAAACCTTTGACTAAGCCGTGCATGAATGTTTTTGAAAATTTACAGTGTGATCTGATGAAAATTATAGAGCTGTATTTATTTTAAATATTAACTGAGAGAACTGAGCTTTAGTTTTCTTTCTCTAAACTACTTATCATGTTTAAAAAAGGAAATAGTAATAATATCTAGTTCCTAGATTGGGGTTTTTTTAAAATGGAAAAATTAATATTAAAATAATTATATTTGATCATCTATCCTATACTTTGGTTCAAAGTATGCATTTTGTATATATTATTGTAGTTATCTCTCATTTAAATAAAAAAAACAAATAAACCACAGACAAACAACTTAAAGCAAATGAGTGTTATTTTTGTTATGTTCCCTTAAGTGATTGTGGTATGTAATGACTTTACAAGGCAGAGCTGAAACAGCCCATAGAGTTTCCAAAGCTGTGATCTTTATATAATCGGCTTGTCTGCTCTTTCTTCCTTAGAGAGGCTGGCAGATTAAAACCGTGGACCTTTGAGTCAGCAGCTGAGCATTTAACCACCAAGACTCCTTAGGAAAGGAGTTGTTGTGTACCATCAGAGCTGGCTCATAGCAGACCCTCTACAGTGTTTTCAGAGGAGATTGTGCGCTGTTTTCCCACTGAGCAGCTCATGGATTCAGGTTGCGCGTCTCTGGGTTGCAGCACAACTCCTTACCACGAAGCCACCTGTGTTGTGTGTGGAGTCAGAACCGACTCAAAGCTGACCCTCCAGCGGGTTTTCAGAGGCAGTAAATCACATGGGATGAGATTGCCCATGTTTCTCCCGGAGCAGCAGGTGGATTTGGACTGTATAACTTTGAGTTGCCAGTGCAACCCCTTACTACTAGACCGTTAGAGCTCCTGAAATGACATATGTTGTTGTTAAGTGCCATCAAGTCGGAGGTGATTCATAGTGACCCTGTGAACAAAAGACCTGAACACTTGGGTGACTTTCATCCTTTCTCCCAGTTCGTAGAGTCTCCGGAGGCAAGGTATTTTGGAAGTGGATGCCACTCCTGCTTCCAAACTTGTTTTCATTGAGGAGCTCCACCAAACACTGTCCACCATGCATAACCATTCTCGCATTTGACTCATCAGTGTCACTGTAGTCAGCTTCACAGCAACCACGAGTTACCCCTGTACAGCAAGTGGACATACCAGGGTAGAGGAACTTATTTGGAATCTAAGTTTTTTAACTCTAATTCTTGTATTTGTTAAGAGTTTATAGTTTGCTTAAATTTGATCAAAGAGGAAATTATTTATATGCAAGGAAAAGTAATAAAATAATCTGATCTATAACACTATGTTGTTATTGTTGTTGTGTACCATCAAGTTGGAACCGACCCATAGTAGACCCTCCAGCAGGTTGTCAGAGGCAATTAATCGCATGAGAAGAGATTGCCCATCTTTCTCCTGTGGAGCAGCTGGTAGATTAGAAACCACATGCGTTTGGGATTGTACCATAGCTTCTTGCCACTAGACTACCAGAGCTCCTTATGTTGTTGTTGCTGTTGTGTACTATTGAGTCAGGACTGACAAAAAGCAGATCCTCACATGGGTTTTCACAGGCAGTCACATGGGAGGAGATTGACTGTTTTTCTCTTGTGGAACAGTTGGTGATTTAAAGGCCTGCCTTTGGGATTGCAGTGCAGCTTCTTGCCACCAGGCTAACCAGAGATCCCTATAACACTATTGATATAGACATTATCTAAGTTCTGCATTAAATTTCAGATCTGTTGTACATAGCAGGCCTCTGAAAACCCTATGTACAGCAGAATACATTTAGATAACAGAAACGGCAAAGGAGGTTGAATTTTCAAGTATGGAAATACAAAGAGGAACAGTTGTAAGTAGACACTGGTGATTGGGACATGGAATGTGAGAACCATGAATGTAGGAAAATTAGATATTGTTAAGGAAGAAATGGAAC